ATGTGGCCACGGGAATACCCAGGTGTAGCTGCACTACTCTTAGATTACATTACAATTATGAGTAGCAGTTAAACTCTTGTAGGCCACAATATTATTATTGGCAAACTGCGTGTGCTGATAGATATATATGCAGTATACCTGTTTGCAGTGTTGCCTTGGAGCTAGCCTTGCTGTTCAGTGAAACTCTCTTACAATGATCACCTGTTTGGGAGCAGGAGCAACATGTTTACTGCTATAGCTAACTTTCTAAACTAATTACGGTTGATCTCGTCAGCTATTCCAGCGTGTCCCAGCAGTTCATCCCTCAGAGCTGCTTCAAGGGTTATCCAACTAGGACCTCCTTTCTCGTTGACTTCGTCACGCTTGAGAAGCCATGCTTTCAAGATGCTGGAGCGATATACTGCCAGTGAGCTGTTCTTGTGGTTGGTTACAGTGGCATAAGAGAGTCCAAGGAGTTGTCCAAGGATTTCCAACTCCTCTCTATCCAGAGGTGTTAGGTAGCGTGCCACCTGAATTCTATCATCAATGCCTAAAGGGCAGGGGCCGACACAACAGAAGTAGTGGAGAAAATGCCCTAAAACTCACACAAACGTTCCCCCATGGTCCATGGACACTTGCTGTGGCGTCACGGCAATCTGTGAGACGGTGAGTATGAACACTTAGCTACTGCTGGGTGGTTGGCAACAATAAGCCTAAACAGCTATGTAGCGGTAGTTACTATAGCCAACGCCACACAGATGCACACCAAGCACTAATCTCGCTATCCACACTCTTGGAGGTGGCTAACACGGCACCGTCCCCAGTAGCTCGAGCTATAGAGCGCACTTTACCGGCCAGCGACCTAGCGGACTCAATCAGCTTATCATCTGCGACACCCTGCGATTTGTTTCATATAATTATTATACACACCTCACTCCAGGACTCCGTCAACGCCCTGATCGCAGTGGTGGCGGATCTAGACAGAACTCCAGAAAGGGTAACATCGGCGCGCTTTGCGCCCGAAAATGTTTAGCGGCAACGCCCAATTTTTGGTGTGGTGGTGGAATCATGCCAAAATTCGACGACGTCATTATCATATCACACAATGATTATACACGCAGCACGCATGCGTATAAATTATGAGATCACGCGTGTGACATTTTGAAGTGCATGGTTACACACAAACAGAGTCAAGATAAGGAGAAGTGTTTCTTGAGAGAGGAGATGTAGCGGTGTATCCTGAGAGCAGGTCCAGTCTTGAGTACTGAGGGGTGAGGTCACTCACTACAGTCATTGTCATGACTCTCATTCCTAGAAATTTGAGTAGTTTTAGGCTGGCCACCCAAAAGTAACTTGAGACCACCCATTGTGAATTCTGCAGAGACAATGGTGCAACTCTGGGCACACTACAAGTAAACCTGAAAATAAACAATTGGCTTATGCTCATTTCATGCTTTTTTAGTGCAGCATAAGTGTATAACTGGGTGTGATGATAAATTATACACACAAACAGAGTCAAGATAAGGAGAAGTGTTTCTTGAGAGAGGAGATGTAGCGGTGTATCCTGAGAGCAGGTCCTGTCTTGAGGTCCATCAACTTCACCATCATCTGAGGATCCAGAGACAGCAGCGTCTCTCCATCCACCAACTGATGAGAGGAAGGGAGAGGGAGAGAAAAGAGGATATTACAGTAACAAACACTGCAAACATATTTAAGGGTACATTTGGGATCCACCCATAAAAGGCTGTATTATGAATTTCTGCGTGGGACAGTTTTATAGTTTTTGTGTATTACACAGCAGAACAAAGCTTCCTGATGTATTATAAGATGTTGGCTCACATGTTCCACAAAGACGTCCTTGAACCCAGAGCAGTGGGGAATCCCTGCAATAAACTGCCCCACCTCTGCCACGCCCCACTCTGTCGGGTGACCCCACCCACTCTCGCAAACCACACACCCTTCGTCACCCTCTCCAACAACTGGCATTTCGGTCGTCCTACCCACAACCTTGCTTCGAGTCCTCTTGGCTGGTGGAAGAGACAGACCCCCATCCTCAGGTACAGACCATACATCACCAACACCCACTCTACAATCAGCGAGGACTTCTCTCCTTTTAGCCGAGGGTCTTGTGTTGGTGTCTGAAACTCCGTCATTGTCGAGAGATTCGCTCAATAGTCGCCTCACTCGAGTTATTTTCCGTCTACTCCTCCGCAGAGACTCGGGGGTTGATTTACGAGCAGTGTGGGGTGTGTGCACAATGCTAGTGAGTCCTGCTGTGCTGTGGGTAGTCGGTCGAGGTTCTGTCTGTGTACCTACGCCCACTATCGAAACTTCGGCGACATTCGAAGATGGCAGAACACTAGTAGTCAGGTTATTGCCTGATTCGAGCACCGAAGACATTGCCACGGCCACTATCTCAGAAGACACTTTTTGTTCAGCAGATGGTGATGAAGGACCAGTAGCAACTGTTGATGAAGACTGTCCCCAAGACGCTAGTGATGAAGAAGCAGGCATGAATTGACAAGTGAGACGGTCACTGCGGGAGGACTATCTGTCATATTATTGTCATCATGATGTCAATGACCAACTCCCCAATCCACCCCAACCCCTCTTCACCTCCCTCACTACTGCCAGTACATTGGAGGTAGTGAGGGGAACACCTGCCATGGAGTACACACATGTAGTGATGTATAGCATCCGTACTCTATATAGACTCTGAACTAGCTCATTAATTTTCATTCGTTAATAGCACGTGGACCAGACCCTTTGTGAGGTGCTTGCACATGTAATGTGGGTGGGGCAAATGGCCTCTCACAATGATCACGAGACTACAGAGGGGTGTGGTTTAGTTTACTGGGCAGGGAAGCTGAGTCAACTGGAGGTCTTTTATGAAAGTTGATCCTTTTTTAGGTCTACAGCAACTCTCCCCACACTTCACCCAACTACCTTTCTAAACGAATTTCATTCTAGCTGGACATTCCTTTTCGCGTTTATTGGAACACCATATAGCAGTAGCTAGTCACTGAACTGTGCCCAAAATACTTACTTCGTTTCCCTCTCAACTGGACAGCAGGAGAACGCCGCGCTCAGCCCGGCACACGGACGGCCGGACGGTCCACCTCGACGTGTAGTAGGTGTGTAAAGCAGCATGCAGTATATACTGCACTGCGAGCCCCACCCAAATGCGCATGCGCGCGTTGTGGCCCACGGCCTGAGAATTAGAAACCCGTTGCAGTGATCAGCTCTGCCTCAAATTTGTGAAAGCTCCTCTTGTACTGCGACCGTACCGCGAGATGGCATGCATAGAGTACTGTCCTACATGCATACATACTGGACTTTAGTCCCAATAATGTGTGGCAATAATATCTCTATCTAGAGTGCACCAAAGGTAGCATTGTACTGGTCACTGTGAGTATGGACAGATGTATACACATCTCTCTCACACTGACCTTTGTACTTGGTGGCAATGTGTATGGCAAGGGCGTTGTTGTTCCCCCCATTGCGATGGGCCACTGCCTCCACCAACATCTTCCACGAAGGCAGTCCGAAAACGCTCCGTGTTGTAAGACTGGTTCAGCCACTCGGTCACCATCTCTGACAGACAGCTCCTAGAGTCTTGTTGGTGATCAGCTTTGATTCTGGCGAGAGTTGAAGGTCGTAGTCTGAGAGCAGTTCCCAGTGGTCTCCACATGTGGGCCACGTCGTCCAGTTCACAAACAACTTCAAACAGATCATCTGTGTCTGCAGCAAACAACACATTCAACCAACACATAATTCCCATTAGGTGTAAAGATCCTCTGGAAAAAGACGGTATGGAAACCCTCCGAGCTAGAAACAAGGCTGACTCTGGGCTTAACCAACCTAAAGAGAGATTTTTGTTTCGGTATCCATGTTGATTTTAGAGCCTACCAAAGCAAAAACATTTCTACACATACAATACACGTTGCCTGAGTTCACTAGAAAATAATTAAAAAGGTTCCCGAAAATTTTTAAAAAGCCAGTGTGAGGCACGTATAAAGCATATAAGGAGGAATAAAGGCGGAAAACATACCTAGTTGTTGGGTACTATCTGGAGAGGTAGGAGGTGGTGTGGTTGCTGCCGTTGCCACTGCTGACGGTGGCTGGTTGCCTGCAGTACAGTACACACATGCTTTCAGTGTTAGCTCGGAACAGAGCTTGCAGAATTACAACGGGGATCTGAACTACATAGGCACTGGATTGGTGTGGTAATCCACTTACAAGCCTCGTCACACCAGGGAAGCACAGTGCCCAGCTCTGCCAGAGTCCCACGGACACCCATGTCACTGGTGCAGTTCCATTTTCCGTCCTTGATGTAAGCTGTGTGGGCCTTGTCTGAGTGGCTCTTTGGACAGATGATGGCTGGCCGTGGCTTGTTATTGGAGTAGCCCAGCATGTCTGACACCTTTTCAATTCCGTTGAAGATGGATTTGTCGACGTGTTGCCATAGTTTCTGTTCCTCTTCCTCGCTGGTGGTGTCTGAGACGTGGGCCTCGAAGTACTGGAAGCGATCCACCAGAGTGACGGAACCGAAATCTGGAACATGAAACTGGATGCAGTCGCGATACAAACACTTTGGCAGGTTTGAGGAGAGGCAGAGTTTCCAGGGGTGGGGGTGAGGGTGCTGGGGAGACAGGACGTGGGCCATCAGTGAGCAGAGATCCGTTCTGGGACCTCCGTCGGGGAAGTCTACCACGTAGGGGACCGGCCGACACGCACACTTCCTTCACCTTCTCCTCCGCCACTTGTCTCAGGACACTCGGCATCAACCAAACCGGTATACAACTTGGAATGGCTTATAGCAACTATCTGGCGTCATACCCATTCTGTAGGATGTATGCTTTTTATTTCATACTGAGACTTGTAATCAAGTGAGGGAGAACATATGTATTTGCAGTTTGGTGGGAAAGTTTGTGGCACAAAACTTTTGAAGATACATTTTTTTTGGTTTACGCCCACAAAATGTCGCAGACAAACAACAAAGATTTCCTCCCCTACATGTTTTCTATGTTTACACGACTGCAACAAAGTGCTCCCTAATTAACCCTCGGCGCGCATGCGCAGCGAGGGTTACTGTAGTTGTCGTGTGTGTGTGTCTGTCTGTCTGTTACCCAACATCTCACTTCACGAGCCATGAATCGCTCCACAAAGGGAATGTGGTGCTCCCTAATTAGAATCATAACTACGTAAAACGACGCAACACATTTTTGGTGAGTGAATGCGAGAGTCACATGTGACATGCGCTCCTTCATGTAAAACATTACTGTATGTGCAATAGCGTCCGTATAATAATGTGGAACCTCCGAACAAGGGACACTATGGGGCCAACGATTTTGTCCCTTGTAGAGAGGTCGTCCCTATCTCGGAGGTCAAATAATACACCAAGTATTAGCATGGGATTGAAACAAGTGTCCTTTGTAAAGAGGTTGTCCCTATTTCGGAGGGTCCCTTATCGGAGGTTCAACTGTAATGTGGAAAAGACGATTAGGTGGACTTGCTCCACTTGCCAATTATGCTTGCTGTGTGTGTTTGAAAATTAACCTCACAACTAGAAACATCATTCTAACTAGCTACAGAGTCCATACGTCAATGTTATTATGTATCCGAGGCAATCAAAATCCGAGGGGTGTCCAAAGAGAGAGTCCTAGCCTACTGGAGGAGGGGTTCTGGAGAGAATGTTGGGAATTTCCTGAGACTCAGTTCTGGCTGGCAGCTGGCCTGGCACTGTGGGAGGAGGAAAGGATTGCAGCAATTTGGAGTATGTTCATACTTTTTGAATGAAACAGACTGTTCTATATACTACTGTACTAGAGGAATGCAACACGTTATTGGCGAGCAAAGTGAGCAGTTTCAATATTCACACGTGTTTTGACGTATGATTTAGAATAATGTAGATCATTACGGTATAGTGCATTCAGTGCCCATCACATAATGTCCTGCATGACATAATTACTGACTATACTGACTATACTGCTACATACT